TCTTTTGAAAACACGTCTTACCGCGAGTTAATATACCATAGTTTTCCACGATTTCTTTCCGCAGGTCTCTAAACAAAAGTAAGCATTCTTGGGCTAAAAGATGCTCGAAAAAATAGAACTCTTGAACATAGCTGCATATGGAATTTTGTAGAGAATCAAATGATTTACAACGTCAACAAGATCCGATCTATTCTCCTTATGATGTGGCAAAATACGAAATAAAGAAATATGAAAACTTGCATATTTCTAATATTTAAGAGGAGAGTATTTTCATAGCACCAACCATATATACAAAAATGAACTCTCGTTTTGATGAAACTCTTATCATTTGTAGAACTTTTAATGCTAAGTATTTTCATGAAAAAAACTTTTCATAAGCTTTTGTTTTGATGAAAATAGACTCAAAATACTTAAAGCAGTGAAAAACCAGGCACTTTCAAAAAACGTCGTTTTTTTGGACAATTTTGACTATCTTGATTGACAGTTTACTTCACTAAAACAAATTCCAAAAAATAAAATTCGAGGCCACATTGAGATTCCTTGTGAAACGTTACATCGAATCATACTAAACTTCACTTTAATTTTGGCAAAAACCGATTCTGCATTTTCGGATTATCGCGGATACAAGCTAGCTCTGAATTACTATGTAGTTGGAGAGCAGAGAACAAGGCATACCAGAATCAAATTTTGCCAAAGCTGAAGTCAATTTTAGTATGGCTCGATGTAACAACTCAGGAAAGATTTGAATAAGGTGTTGAATTTTATTTTTGACATTTGCTTTAGTGAAGTAAACTGCCGAAGGAATTCGCCAAAATTATCTGTAACAAAAAACTTTTTTTGAGGATTCCTAGTTTTTTATTGCTTAAAGAATAATGAATCTATCTCCATTAAAATAAAAGATTCGAAAAAAAACATTTTTTATGAAAATGCTTAGCATTAGAAGCTCTACAATTGCTGAGATGTTCATCAAAATTAGAGTTCACTGTTGTATAATGTGGTTGACGCTCTGGAAATACTCTTCTCCTAAATATTAAAAACACGCTATTTTGCCATCTTTCTTTGTTTCGTATTTTGTCAGGTCAAAAACAGGCGGTTCAAGTCTTGATCTACGTTATATACTACAATCACTTTCAGTAAAATTTTAATTTTTGTAATTATACTCAAAAACCATAAAAAAAACATTGTCCTCGATATACACATAGTCGATATTAAGATTTAAGGAAGTGGTTTTATGCATAATATTAGTTCTATATGGTGTAAAAACTGTAAGAGTTTCATGCAATTTGAAAATACTTGTCCATTTTGCTGTACAGAGACTTCATGTAACATCTCATTACAAAAGCAATCGAGAGATCTAAGTACTTGAGAACAGAAACTTCATCATTTATAGTTTATTTTTTATCAATGATTTATTGCAACAACAATCTATTTTCTATAATTGAAATGAACGAAAACAAAGAAAGTAAGTCGAACTGTAACATCTAGAGGCAGACAATATCTTTGTTGACTATTTTATTTAAATTGTGATTCTTTCTTGTTGAACAACGAGAAATATATTCGAAGGTATTGAATTCATTAAATTGAGAATATAAATCCGTGTACTATATATAGTATCAGTTTTTCTACATCATGTTAAACACCAAGTGACTTTTCAGTTAATAAACGTTATGTTGATAAGTTTTATGTTATTAAAAAAAAGGATTCTAAACTGCAACCTTTGAAGCATTTAAAAAAAGAAAAACTGGTTTATTACTCATCTTATTATGGGATGTTTATTGAATCATCAAAAGTGTCAAAAACTTTCATTTGTCAGAATTTAGACCTCTTCATATTCTAAAAATAAAATTAACTAAAAATTTAATATGACTTACGTTGTATTTTTAGTCAAGGTTAATCCCAAAGGAAAAAGAATTCATTTTTTTAAACTCTCTACTATTGATCAGTTTTGATTGAAAAAACAAAGTTCGTAAATTATTTCTCAATTTGAGATAATTGAAAGTATCTTTATCAAAATATAATTCAATATTATCATAAGTAAGTTTAATGACATAAGCATTTATAATAATCTTTGCTAATTTATTATCAGCAAATAGCCTGAGTACTAGTGAAAGACAAATAAATCATCAACGATTAATCCTATTTTAATGATCACTACTTCGCTAAAACTATTTATCTAGTTTTTATTTAAAAAAAAAATACAAAGGAAACTTTTTTTCATGAGACTCTCTATAATATAGACATTAATATTGTTATTGAACCAGTTTTAAATGCCTTATTCTATCCAAATATAATATATTTGAATTTTATTTATTTACCATAATTCCATTTGTTGCTATAGCGATGAAAAGAATCTTTTTCTAATTGAAGTGAATATGGCCAAAAATTTCAAGAGAAAAAAATATTAACTGTATGTAGCTACTTGTCAGTGTTAGCTTGAACACTTAACTTTTGTTGATGTCATAAATACTTAACGAATAATACCCTATTGTCAACTTTGAGACAAAAAGCTATATCATTGTTTTAATAAATAAAGAAAGAATTAAACTCTTAACCATTAAGAGCAATAAAATGAGTCAATTCTTTGTGTCGATCCAAATATTTTGGATAGCAAAAAGCAAAAAAAGAAACAACAACTGAAAGTAATCTTAATTTCCGCTTTGTAATGGTTTATGCCAACAATTCTCTATTTATAGTATCAAGCTTAAAATCACAAGTCTATCCAAACAAAGTTTACACAATATAAATGAATCTATATATAATAAATAAGTATTCATTAATAAAGACAAATGTTTAGAGACATCATTTGATACCAATATGGATCAAGCCATTAATCAATGTTACCTAAAGATAAAGATAAAATAACATTAATTTTTTCTTGCTAATCTCATCAAACTTTGATACAGATATATTCATTATTTTCATATCTATAACAACATCAAGTTCTTTTGAAAGATCAACAAAATAAAATCATCGTCGTCTAAATAATGTTCCAAATTCTGTGTTTATATTTTCATTTTCATATTACTTTTCTTTCTTCTTCTCACATCATGCAACATGAATATTATCATGAACTATGCACTTAAGTTTAATCCCAACACTATTTCCGTTAATACGCTTTTGTGAATAATTACTGACCTCATTATAACAAGGAGAAGTGTGTGATGCTTTTTCTGTCATCATGAAATGAATCAATAAGTTTCTTTTATTAAACAAATATTCACATCTTCATTATTCTCAAAAAAAAAGAAAAGAAAAGTGTTTCCACACAAAAACAAAATTCCATTAAAATGATATTAATTTCCTCTTGTTTTTTTTAAGACGTATTATGCATATAATAATTAACATATGCTACTTGATAATGCTAAAAAATGTGTTTTAGGTGCAAGTAAATAAAGAGACGGAAACGAAAGATAGTTTATTCGCCCGCCTGTATCCTGTACGATTGACGACTGACATTGATTCATTGTTCTTCTGCATTATTCAAATGTCTTAATAACTAGTCATGTGGCCGACTTTTTCTAGACTGTATTTGTCTGATCATAAATTCAAGAACGATAAAATTTTAAAGATATAATGAGAAGAAAAAAAATCTTTCATACGATGATTACCGTTAGAATTTTTTTTCTTGTCTAATTCTTTATTCATTGTTGCATTTAAAGACATATTAACAGACATGAGAAGCCGTACCTAATGCAAAAAGTATTTACAAAGAATAAGAAAAAAATAGATTAGTTTTGCACATAAGACTATTTTATAATGAAAATTTGCGTAAATGAATAACTTTATGTTTTAATCGAAAGTAATATTTCAATGAAACTATATAATCCATGATAGTGGAATGGCTTAGAATCAAAAACCTATGAAAGCAAAAAAACCATATTAACATTTTCCAATATTGTCCATTCAATTCTCATGTTTTCTCTTATATATATATATATATATATTATTGATATGGTTTCTATCTTTTATTGACATATAACTTAGCTTGATTAATTGTTAAAAGAAAAATATCGGATTGATAGTGAGATTAGAAAAGAAAAATAGAAAATGTGAATTCATTTGTAACTAAAATAATCATTCGGTCATGTTATGAAACACAACGCTGCGTGACAGCAAGGAAGACAAGTTATATAGATAACCTTCGTCTTAATGATTTAGGTTTTTAGTTTCATCAAATAACAAGCAAAAACAAAGAAATTCTTTGATATGCATAAATGCTCTTTATGTTCTTTTTGAAGTAATTATGATTTAACCAGGTCCATCACTTGTTATCGGTTCGTTTTTTAGACAAAGACTAAGAAAACAGACTATTTTGTTATTTTATATGATAATATTAATGATGCACTAATTCGATAAATATGACAAGATGACGATGAAATGTGGATGATCAAATACATTTGTTATTTTTGTTTATATCCTTATACTTCGTTTCGTTCGAATAAACATGTGTGAATGAGTGGCATTGTCATCATCATTGGATATGCACACAGCAAAATCGTTTATTAGTTTCCGATGGTGGCCCACAGCATCACGCCTGGTATCGAATGAATGATAGATCGACTGCTGTGCACATAAACCGTTGACACATGGATTAAATTACTGATAATAAATCTGTTGTTAAAGTCAAAGTGACTCTTGTCAGACCGAAATAAATATCTATATGCATCTATACAATGTAATATTAAATTGCAAATTACAAGACAAAGATGAACTAGCTCTGTGATGTGATTGAAGAGATTTACCTTTTTATCATCAATATCAAGACAGTATATTATTTTTACCTTCTTTTTCTCTTGTTGCTTTTCAACGGAAAAGAGAAACGGTACTATTCTATGAGAAAAAGATAAGAAAGAATTGATGATTCTAGAAAGAAGAAAGCAAAGAAAAGCAAGGAGAAAAAAGAATATAGAAAAAAAAAGGAAAGAATATGGAAGATTGTGAGTGAGATTCATTGGTGTTTCTTCCTCACTTTCTTGAACAATAAGTAAACAGAGCTTACCATGAATGGCTCATCGAATTTATATTTCATTCGAAGTGGTAATAATAACACTCAAATAACTGACCGTCTTCTTTCAATCTATTCACTTTTACTAATTTTAATTGGTACTCCATGTAATCTTCTTTGTTGTATAATTTATTTACAAAAAGCAAATCGTTCAAATTCAATAAAGACGATATTTGGTTATTTAGCTTTTCTTGATACAATCGTTTTATATACATTTAATTTGAATTATGTCTTTCGAGAATTTAATGTTGACGTTCGTATAACTTATTTTAATAACAAATATAATCATTATAACAATAATAACAACAATAATAGTGCTAGTCCATATTTTGATGAAAATGATAACATTAATGGCATTATTATTAAAAAAAATGTTGAAGAACAATCACTATTTATCTGTCGTTTTCTGTCCTATATTGGTAAGAGAGCTTAAATATAAGAATAAAATTCAATTCTTAACATTTATTTTAGCATTTTCTACCTTACAAACATCTTCATGGATATTAGCATTTGGTTCATTTAATCGTTATTTATTAATAAAAAAGATATCACATTTCGAATTTGTTTGTAAACGACGCTATACTATAGCAATATGTTTTTTTTTAACATGTGCATTTTTTCTATCAAACTTGCATATACTTTGGATGAATGGTTACCGTTCATCATCTGGCAGCATTATATGCTATAAAAATAAAGATTATCCGAATTATATTGTTTGGTATCAACGGTTACATTTAATTCTTTATTCAGTTTTACCAAGTATTATTTTATTTATATTTAATATACGTTTAATGCGTATTATATTTGCAAGTAAGAAACGTTTAGATAATCATAGACGTATAGTTTTATTTGCTGCCGCAGCAACAACGACAATACCAATTAATCGACAAAGAAATTTTCTTGCTATACAACACATGTCATCATCAGCATTAAAGCCAACGAATAAAAGTAGTCCATCAAGATTACTTAATCGACATAGTCGAAAATTAACTATATCATTGATATTTATAACCATATCTTATTTTACATTAACATTTCCATCAACAGTTATTTTTTCATTTTTTCGTTCATATATTGAACCACCTTCATTAAGACGGACTATATCACTTCTATTTACCAATTTATCAACAACGACACATGCTATTCGATTTTTTATTTATTTTTTTTGTTCAATTGATTTTCGCAATGATTTCTATAATTTATTTTTATTCAGACGATTATTTCGTCTCAAGTTAATGAAAAAACGAGAACATCATGTAACTTTACATTATACAACTCCACGTCTTACAACTTTACATTTTAGTAACAAGCAAACTGAATTACAATTAACATCAATTAAACATCGGTTGGATAGATGATGAAAGAAAAAATAGAATAAAAAGGATAAAATTTATTATTTAATGTTACATCGTGATCGATATATTGAATGAAAGTATGCGTGTTATAACTGTCGTGTATAAACATAAGTAGTTCAAATCTAGTTCAAAAGAAAACATAAGCTAACAGCAGCAATTTTATTATTTTTCTTTTTTTTATTAATCAATTGTGCTTTGAATAGACCGTTTCTCATTGATACGAAGCACTCGAATGTTCTCACACACTCTATCTCATTTTGAGACGTTATAATAAATAGCCTTGTCACCACATTTATATGTTTCTATATATATATACATATATAAAAGAGCTCATCGATCCACTATATCAGACAAATATTGAAGCACGTTTTGTACTCTGTGCTAGTATTCGCTTCTCTGCTCATCAATAATCATTATTGAATCGCACGAGTATAGATGCATACATCGGAAACACTCGACAATAGACAAAAAAAAACGACGCAAAACTACAAATAACAAACGAATACTTCTCTTGCCTCTTTGTTTTAATTATTTTATTCAATTAAAGGACATATATGTTTTTTTTTTCATACCAATAAATGACAAAACTAATAATCAATTCATCGTTGAAATATATAATAAAATGAAAAGCAATGATTTTATTTATGCTAGGTATTTGTTTATCGTCTCTAGAGAATTTCTGTCGGTGTATTGTGTTTTTATAACAAAGAGAATAATATTGTTGCGCCTCATATTACTCTAACATCAACATTTATATATAAATTTTCTTTTTCAAAGAGATTTTCATTGATATAAAATAATATCATTAGCAATAATAGTATTAATGTGAGATAAAAATATGTTTGGTTCAATTCGAACAATAGAATTCATTCATTTCAGTTTTGCGTGTTGGTCCAAAATTTTTTTACTAGCGCAACAAGAAATTATACGACAACAAGAACAAAGTAGATATACAGAGCAAGAACGAAAGAGAAAAAAAGAAAGAAAAAAGAAAAACGAACAATGTGCTACACATAGACACAAATGAAACAGACTTTGAGAGGTCCTTCTTCACATCACTGGGATTACGTCATAGACATTTTTGTTTGTTTCTTAGGCTTCCATTTTCATATTGGCACTATTATTATTGCTATGCATTGTTTGTTGAATACGTCGACGTAATTCATTGACTTTACCTTCTTGAGCACGAATATGTTCATCAGTAATTGTAACATACTAAAAAAATAAAAACAATTGAAATGAAGATAAAAATTTCAAAGAAAAAAAAACAAATGAAATAATATACTTCAATTAATGGTTGATCACGTTGAACATGAATAGTTGGATTTTTTTGAAATTGTTTACTTTGACCAAAAAGTGCACGTGAATTACTATATAAATGAAGTGATGTTGCGAGACTTATAACAATCGTTTCGGGTGACATATTAAGGCCGACACCTAAATGAATGCAAACATAATAAAACTAATTAAACATTTTGTTAAATTTTTACTAAAAATATAACGAAAGAAAAGTTATTTTTAGATCAAAGAAGAGATAGAATAGCATAAAATATTAATTATTTAGACTCGAATAAAAGAAAAGAATATTTCATATATTGTATACTCATTGTTATTTTATAAACTTATAAATTAAAGCACTTCTTTTTCTTAAAATATTAAGTTAATTCAAAATCATTCGATGTCTTTATATAAATTAAATTCTTCAATTATTATTTCAATCATACTTGAAAAAACAAAGAACAAAAAAACATGTTTTTACGTACGAAAAGTATAGAAAAGAATTGTTTGTTCCGTAGAAATTGCTTTCTTCTATACACTTCATTCATGTAAATATCATTTGATTACATTACTATGTAAATTATTAGTTAATATGAACTTATTGTCTTTTCTAATACAAAAAAGAAGATCTAGAATATTTTAAAGTATATCAGTCTAGCTTATGATCTTTTTTCTTACAAGATCGAAGAAAAACATGCAACCAAGTTTAGATCATTTAATTTAAATAAAACTGAAGCATGTAATTTACCATGACAGATTAAATACACAGAAAAGTAAAATTCATAAATTGATATTAATAAACCTTCTTTCTTATGGATTCGAAAGAAAGCGATAGTATTCATGACTAGACATTACAAAAAAAGTTAATACGATATTCACTCGAAAAAAAAATGTATAATTTAAATTGATTGTTTACAAAAGATATGTAATGCTTATGAAATTTATTATTGCATAACTATCTTAAGTATTTTGTCAAATATAAAAGAGATTGTGTAAGCGATTGCTCTTTTACAATATCATCTATTCTTAATTGTATTCTCTTCACTTAAGTTAAGTATAGTTCTACAAGCTTGATTGATTTATATTTCAATTATAAAGTATACAAAAGTGAATGGTTGAATTCAAAATTTTAATATACCTTTAATTTGTTCGGGTAATTTAAAATGTTCAAAAGGTTGTCCATCGATATCCGTCGGACGTATATTTTGAAATCGTTTTTCCCAAAAAAGTTGTCTTGGTTTTGTTTTTTCGCTTGGTTTTCCACCACTATTAGTATTTGTTGTTGTTGGATTATTTGAATTAATAACTTGTGGCTTAACTTCATCACGTTGCGTAGGATAATAAGTAACTGGCTGTTTAAATATCGGCAATGTTTGTCTTAATGGACATCGTAAAGATGTCTCACTTTTTGAACCTTAAAACAGATTAATTAAGAAAATGCTATTACGAAAATCTCTAAGGAATTAATATATGAAACATGATGTAGAAGCTCTTGGTAATCACAAGAGATTGCTTTATTTTATCTACTTTAGAACACATTTTTTCACTATCGTTTTATTCAATTATTTAGAAATGCAATAAACAAGTGGTTTATCTATTAGAACGACACGTTATTGATCTATGATCTTTGGTCGTATATCAACAGTACTAGCACGGTCTCTGAACAGTCTCTAACTATTGTCGGCGCCAGAATTAAATAGGGGTGGGTATAAGCTCAATAACTCGACAACCGCAATAGCTAGCGACCTGCGGTTTTCGTCAATCGAAAGAGGAGGAGTTGGGACGCCTTTTTCTCTGATAATGTATAAGACGAAAACCTTTTAAAACTAATCATATTCGAAAAGCATGCAAAAGAACCCATGAAAATGATCTGCCAGCTCGATGAAATTTAGNTAAGTGGAAAGAAAGTCTGTATGTTATTATAATGTTTGTTCCAGAGTTCAATAGGCAGAATGTTTTTCTTTTTGAATAACTTCCAAGTTCTGAAACATCTATCGATATAGCATTTATTAGGTTTGAATATATTTTCCCACTGCTAGTTGTACATTAATACTTTTTTTTTTTGTTGTTACTTATTTTCGTGATAAGCTGATGCAAAATTACATGAAAAGACTATTCTGAATAACACTATGCATGGTAAAAGTTTTACATTTTGAAAAAGTTATTCAAACAATTATCATGATTTTTTGAAACCTGAAATTGAAATTATTTCAATCGTTTAAAAGTGTAAAGAAACTTCAACTAATTATTCAATTTACTATTTTTTGTTTTGTTTTTAATGAAATATTTATTTTCAAACCTGTTGATGTTGGTGATGATGCTGCAGTAGTTGTTGATGATTCGATTTCAATTAAAGGTATACTTTCTCTTATTAATCGTGATGTTGATTCAAATTCTATAGAAGGTACATCTTCTATTATTTGTCCTGGTGTTGATTCTACACTTATAATGGATGGTGAATTAAATATATTGGGTGGTGAATCTATTGCATTTATTGTTTCAGGTGATTTTAATGAATGACCATTTGTATTTGTTGATGGTAAAAGTTTGTCAAATGAATTTTGTTGTTTTAATAATGGACCTCTATTAAGATTGTTATTTAAATTACTGTTCGGTGATGATCTAATTTGTTCGTTTGGTTGTGTACCTGATTTACGGATTGTTTCAATTAATTTAAACCATCCTTGCATTTTCCCAGAGGAATCAACATTAGTTAATGGCGATGGTTTTGATTTATTCTATTTATGAAATAAAATCACAAATGCATTAGAAAAAATAAAAAACAAATTATTTTACTATTTGTTGGTTTTCTGTTGTCATTGTGATCGAGGTTCATCTAAAAACAAAATATAGTTCATCAAATTTTATGAAATAAAACCAAGAGACGTTTACAAATCATGTGTATATGTTGACAAGAAGAACGAAACGGACATTCAACTAGAAGTTTAAATGTTTCATTTTTTTCTCTTCCTTTCTTTCTCTCTTTCGTTTCGTTTCTTTCAATGATTACCTGTTTATTCAACTCAATTCATTTTTTTCCTTTGCGTACTATATAATTCTATTGGCAAGATGAATCACTACTCCAGTATGGTATCTATCTTTCGTTTTGTTCGTTCGCTCGTTTTCACTCTCTTTCTTTATGGATTTTGATTGTTTCAAAATATATGCAGGATAGCCAATCAACCATCCATGACCGAAGCTATGGTATTGTTTTACGTATCAAGGATTTTAGTACAGGTAACTTTAGACATAATAATTGTCCTAACCTACAGTGCAAAGAATAAATATTGATTGACATATATTTATTATTTTAATAGATGTCTCTAGTCAGCAATTATATGTTTTATTACGAGGACAAGATTGAAAGCTTTCATTTTTAATATAGAGGCTTTTTTCTGAGAAAAGAAACAAACTTTTAGAAGTTAATATAGTGATCAATTTGAATTTTTTTCATAGCAAAATTCATTCAAAGAACTAAAAGCATAATTTATAAACACACAGAGATGTTCCCAATGAGAGTTCAGTGGTGCAAAAAAATTATCCAGAACGAAAACCGTGGCACCGATTGCTAAACATGAGAAAAAAAAGCGATTCCAATTTGCTTTCCAAAACATCACATGAAATCAAAATTGTTAAATCATTAGATAGATACGAAAAATTTAAATCTATTTTTAAAAATTTCACTATTGAACTGTTAAGATTGAACATATCACATATTTTGCAATACTTAAACAAAACAATATTATACATATACAACTAAAATCTTTAATCTCGAGGGATGAAAAACTAAAGATTTTTCGACAAAGACTGAAGAATTTTCGTATCTAACTGATAATTTGACAGCTTTGGTACCTTTAAAGGTTCCAGTATTTTTGGAACTGCCTAACTGTATAGGAAGGGTACCCTTGTAAAAATACTTGAAAATCCTGAAACTGATGTTCTGATATGTTTAATAAAAACTATTTCTACGAGTTTATGAAAGAGAAAAAGAAGTTTTTCAGTCCATTCATGAGGTGATGTAGTAGTCTTTCTTCAGCGAGAAAACTATGGTAATATGAGTCAATAGTCAAACATAGAACAATTTAAATAGAAATACAGAATCTATCGGAGCTTTCCTGCAACACATAGGAAAAATACAAAAACTTAACGGATCCTTGACAATCTACGATTCAAAATATTCTTTTTCTCATTCGCAGTAGTAGCTGACATCCGTCTCTTTTGCTCACAAATTTACTTTTAGTTTTTTCTTGTTCTCTAAAACAAACATTCTTATATACACTATATAATGTAGATGCAAGATGTTTATCGAAAAAAAATCAAGGATAGCATCGTAATGAACATAATAAAACCAAGAAAAGTCTATATATTTTTTAAAGACCGGCGGTTCTAGCTAATAGAAACTCAAAAACAAATCCAGTTTCAATTATGGTTCTTAAATAGTATCTTTTCAACTGATTGTCTAATAATAATAAAGCAGATAATTAATACAATATTTTTTGTGGGAATTTTTAAGTTATATTTCATTGTTTGAGACAGTTATTGTCTATTATTTTTTGAGAACGCAGTTTTGTCAAAAAAAAAATAACATAGCAAAGAAAAAGAATGAGAAAATCATGATTGTTAATCAGCTGTATAATTTTTTCATTACTAAAGACTCATATTGAGCTGAAACGTTGTGCAAGCATTGGTTAACCACACATAAAAAGAAATTTTTGGTTTTTTAATCTCGTTCTTAATGGAAGCTAAGACGAATTTTAGTAAATTTATAATATCTATTTTTAGTGTCTATTGCATTTTCAATGGCATGTAGTCAACTCAATTGAAAAATTTTACTATCTTTTTTCTTCTTTCGCTAGCCTTGAGACTCACTGAATCAAAAAATTCTTAATAAAGCTGACAAATTTTATAAAAAAAAAAAAAAGAAAAAAAGTCAAATTTTGATAAAACTTCTCTCAAAGAAAGACATTTCTTTTCTTTGGTGAAGCTTGCTTTTTGAAAAAACTGAGCTTTCAAACAAAACAAAAATATTTCAGCTTATCTCTTAGTTTAATAGAATATTACCGTAGATGTGTCACCGTATAAATGCTGCAAAAAATCGACCTTTTTTAGAAAACAAAGATTTTGTTTAGATGAAAAATTGTCTTTAATAGCAATTGAAAACATCACTTTCAACAGAGACATGGTTCAAACCTGTAATGATTATGAAAGTACACAGCGAAGTATCTAACCATGATTTTTCCTGGAAAAGGGATTTTCTAACGACGCTATATTTTTTTCAGAGACCGTTGTTATACTTCTAGCTATTATTGACGTCTACTTCCGTTCTGTTGTGAGAAAAGCGGGTCGTTTACCGTAGGCGCAGACGTAAATTGAACTCTTCGACTTTAGATTATACAGTGATTGAACAGCTCCCCACCTATGAGTAAACAATTTTCGATTTCAATGATTCTGATTTCGGATAAGAGAAAATGAAAAGTGCCGGTTCCGATAGGATTCTCGCTTTCATTTTTTTGAAACCACCATGCTCGAACTTCTTGTAAGACAACTCCCACAATTGATAGAATCAATGTCTAATGAAGACAGGTTATCATATACTTTATGCAAATCAAATCTGTCTTAACGCATAGAATAGCAAATGTATCACAAAATACTAAGGCAGCTCATGAATACAGAACTAGACTTTGAACAGAGCCTGACCTTGAATATAGAGAAAGATGAAAACATGTCTAACAATGACCCCAGAAAAATTTTGATTTCTTCTATAAAAACAAATTTTTTTTCTGTAGAGTTATACAGATTACCGTTAGGGAAAATTTGAAATTTTTCTTCAAAGATATCTATATTTTCCCTATTGAACCTAGGAGAACCCTCTTACTGAACGGTTTATTATACTTTTCATTCTAGTTCAAACTCTTTTTTCTCTTTCTTTTCTCAGAATCACCGCTGCATTATCAGTTTTAACATGCACGAGTATATGCGGTGTTGGAACAAGTGTTACCATGGGGAAACAGCAAGCTACGATTTTGTGATTTAAAATGATTTAAAATCATCAAAAATCATTTTTTCACAGATTTCACATGATTTAATTTTGATTTTCAGATGATTTAAATCAGTTGTTTCCCCCTTGAGTATTATCCTAAAGTAAACTCACTGTAAATTTACTATTAGTAAAATTCCATCGAATCAATATCGCTTTATTTGAGAAAAGAATCCTTAATATTTTTTGCGATATTTTTTTATTATTCTGAATTTTCAATTACTTATTTATTCTACTGATATGAAAAGTTCAACGAGGTGAATATAATCTGAATCAAGAAAGAGACTCTCGAACAAAACACAAATGATTTTTGAGTAACAATTCATTGATCTTTTATTTTGAGAATAAACAGTTAATTATAAGAGTTATTTTAATACACTTCAGCATTATTGATATTTACTTCGGATCAATTTCATAAGCCTTAACATTATCGGGCTTGACGCTATTAGATTTTTCTCAAAACGATATATTAAGACATATATATCTGGGTGGTAGCAATGTTAAAAATAAATCTTGCATAAATGATGAGTATGCTTTTAGAAACGAAAACTTTAATCAAACTTGTCCAGACATGTGCACAACTGGATTCGAACGAAAATTCGAACGTTTTCCGAGCCTGAGTCAAAACCATAAGGAAAAAATTGTTCGCACTGAAACTGATGATTATAGTTAAATTTTCTATGGCTTTCTGTAAATATACTAAAACCATCAGGGTCGAAATTACGACAAAAAGAAAAACTTAGTCTTCATATTTCTGGTTTGTCTTAAACAAAAAAATATAATCGATGCAACTTAATCAACATTTTAGAAGTAATTATATGAGTTTACCCAGTCAGACAAGACTCTTTAAAAAAGTGTTAAAACTCGTTAAGGTTTTCTAATAACGCCGTTTTAATGAGAGTATATCGTTAAAACGGCGTCATTACAAAATTCTAAACAATTTATAGCGCATTACTACATCTTGAATTCGTTTAAATGCGTAGTTTTTTTCGAAACTGACGCATTTTTATGCCGGTGTCGATATGGATTTTACGAGTTAAATCGCACTCAACAGGGCCTGATACACTTTAATGCAGTAAGGCCTTATAGAAAACTTAAATTATTTTTTTTTCTTTTGGCAGTACATTAATGCGTTCAATATCGGTTTATTATAGCTTCCTTTTCAAACAGAATTGAACACTTTTCTATAAATATATTACCTCATGAACATTGAAAGGTATATTGTTAATTCGAAGACAACATATCTAACACTTTATGGAACATATATGTAGATGTTCATATCTCAATTGATTTCTGAGCAAGGTGAAAAACTATTGATAAAGCTTTAAAGAGAAGAGCATGTCTTAAATGCATTGCGTATATTTTTTTTTCTCCGCTATAATGGATTCTAAAGAGCAGCTCCAACTCATTCTTTTATGTAAATCGTATTATAGCTATTTCAAATTCATATTTGATTATAATCTACTTATTCAATAGATTAATAATCGGCTAATTTTTTAATTTTTTATCGATATTTATTGCAAGACGAAGTATTTAATCTGAACAGTATAAGTTTGAAAAATTCTTGGATTAATATTTGACAAAAAGAAATGACATGAACAAAATGAGTGAATGCTTTATTTAGAATAAAAAATAAATCAGCACTGAAGAATTCAAGAAAAATATTCAAGTGAACTCTAAAAGATTTGGCCACATTGAGGACCCAAATATGGAATCTGAATTCTCTTCAACTTGGTATGTAACTTTTTGAAAATAAAGCCAAACTATATAGAAATAGTTTTTA